CGAAATATCTTGATTTAAATCAGCAGAGCCAAATGGAGGTCAGGTCGTTCGCCAAAGTCAGCGCCGTCACATGTCCTTCAAGGAGCGGCAGTTGTCCATTCCTCAGAGGATTCCTCAGAGCTCTCACTCTCGGAGCTGGAGGCTTGTCTGTGCGGCATGAGAGCGAATGAATGAGAAATAAGTAAATACAAATATTAATTTGTGTATACTATGTATATTCATAAATATACATACATCCGTATGTATATATACACGTGTTTATGTGTGAGTGCATATAAATATGTTTATAGATATGTATATATACGCATATATATATATATATATATATATATATATATATATATATATATATATATATATATTACAATCATATATGTATGTGTTGTGTTTGGGTATATCTATACATATATGTATATACATGTACGTATGTATGCATAGATATACGATGTATATTTATATATCTATATATATATATATATATATAATATATATACATATATATATATATATATATATATATATATATATATATATATTTAATTGTACATATGAATGAACAGATACATACACACACACATATATATGTGTGTATGCATATATATGATTGTGCATATATGTATATGTATGTATGTATATTTCATGTATAGTTACTATACATTGCTTTTGCATTTTTTCTGTTTCATACTATATAGAAATAATTAAAAACGACTTTCTTTAACACACATTCCTCGTCGCTTGGCGTCGACTCACCTCCTGAGGCGCCTCAGATCCAAGTCGTGAGAGGCAGCGATGTCTCTGAGGATTGGTTGAAAGGACGATGTTTTTATATTGTTGACATTTTGCAAGATTATTTACAATAAGCTTTGGTAAAATTTCATGCTAGACATCGAGGTATTTAATTTAAAAACAAGAAAGTCCTGCAATATCTAACCTTTTCTCTATTCTCTCCAAAGACAGGCTGTTGCTGTTGCTCCCTGTGCTGATGTCTCTGATAAAACAAAAGAAAATTATTCATAGCCTATTTCATTTAATAAAAATCTTTCTTCGCATAAAAAATATATCTATGTCTAAGAAAAAATCTTACAATATCTAACCTTTTCTTTATCCTCTCCCCGGATGAGAAAATAATCCGTCAAAAGGAAAAAAAAAAATCTTATAACAACTAACCTTTTCTCTATCCTCTCCACGGACGTGCTTCCGCTCATTCCTGAGCTCATGTCCCTGAGGAAAAACACATTATATCCCCATAGCTAAGGAGAATATCCTTGGAATTGGGAATATGGAAAGGCAGTCTTATATGCAGAGAAATCCTCCTCTCTACAACACTCTGAGCAGTTGGATATCTTTCGATCTAGCTCAATATGATTGCTAACTTTGCAGTATCTTGCATGGCAGATCCTGCCTGCAAGCTCACCTCTCGACACGATGGAGCTTCTCGTAGACATCGCCGAGGGAGTAGGCGGAGGAGAGGCCGACGACGGCCACCAGGACCAGGATCAGTGTCACCCTGGGAACGAGATAGCATTCGTTACCATACCATCCATCCTGTGCTATGTATGTTAGTGTTTGCGATTGGGAAATACTGATTGGTGCAAGATGCAGAATCTTTGCCAGGAAAACTACAAAGATATTCTTTCGTACGAAACTTACTTCATACTGAAAGAAAGGAGAGTCTCTTGTGCACCGGTTCCTTGTGCTGATGCAATGGCAACTGACAACGAATGCAGTTTGGTTTCGCTTTATATGCGATCTCGCTGATAGTCATGTAACGCTGTTGACGTCACGCAGCTGCTCTTGTGCATCGTTCCAAGGGTTTTCCTTCGCTTAATCTTTGTTTATTGGGAAACAGAAAGGATCCCATAAAGTTGTCTTCAGCTAGAAGATAGATTTTCCTATATTTCTTAATGCTGCATCACAGATTTTGTATACCTCATACTTTGCTTGTTGTTCGCGTGCTTTCTCTTACTTTGCGGATTTAGAGCGCGGTGTATTTATATATTAACATGGATATCTGTGCATTCAATTATGCGTTTGATTGCATGGACCCATGACTATCTATCTATATGTAAATCCACACACAGATTGTGGCCAAAACATACACCAATCAAATCTTCCAACTACAATCACTGTAGAAACATAGAATTGACAAAGTATGTAAAGAAATTAACCATAGTAAACCAGACCTTTGTGTAGCGAAACACTGAAACACAACGAACGGACCAGAAAAAAATTAAAGCAAATTAATATATAATGAATGAGATAACAAAAGTACGATTGATCAAATACTGCATATATATTCACATTCTTTTCATTATAATTCATGCACGTTCATCTTCATTTAAATCATCCCTATCTCTAATGTAGTCATTGCGTTATTAATAACACATGTATTATCATTACTATTATCATTATTATTATCATATAATGATGTTCATATATATAGTATATTTACACACATGTATGTTTTGTGGTCGTCTCTATGAATACACACACACACATATAAACATACATACATATACAAATATACATATGAATATATACATGTATATAAGTATATATGATATGAACACATATAAAGGTATGTCTTGATATATATATGTGTTTGAGCATGTATGTTTATAGATGCACATGCACACAAACACAAATATATGTGTATGTGTTTATGTGTGTATATACATATATATGTGAATATACAAATATATATGTATATATAGAAAAACATGTATATATGCATGTATATATAAGTATATATATATATATATGTGTGTGTGTGTGTGTGTGTGTGTGTGCGCGCGCGCGCGCATTCGTACATATATACATGCATATAGAAGTACATGTGTATATACATATGTATATATATATATTCATATTTATATATTCCTTTTTATGTTTGTGTATTTATTCATATATATGTGTGTATATATTGGTGTATGTATGCTTACGTAGATTTATACATGCGCACACATATATATGAGTTTCTCTCCGAGTGCGTATGTGTGTATATGAATGTATATATACATATACAATAGTACATGAATGGATATATATATATATATATATATATATATATATATATATATATATATATATTTATATGTATATATATATATAAGGTTTTAGTAAATGATTGCTCCTCTTGCTCAGGCTATACTAAAGCAGGTACATAAATGAAATTCAAATGCAATTCTAGGGAATTTATAAGTACAAAATCCATTAAGCTTTGTTTCCTTCATGCTCCTCACAAACAGCTTCAAACTGACTTGGGTAGGACAGCTAAAAAAAAAAAAAAAAAAAAAAAAAAAAAAAAAAAACGGCGATGAATAGGCTCCTGCACCATCATCAGACAGTGAAGCTCATCCTTCAGGATCGCGACCACGTCCTCACAAATACTGAGGTCAGGGGAACGGCCGGCCACTCCTCGTTTCCGGAAAGGGAGGTCTCGTTGTCTTTGAGGAGGCCTGGAGTTGCGAGGACTTTCATGCAGGGCGCTTTGTGGTGAAGGAATGTGTCCCTTTGCGCATCTAGAACACAAGCAGGGACTCTCACGAAAGGATCGCTTGCTGAGAGAGAGAATCACGGATCGAAAACAGGGTTCAAACCAACTATATCCGCTTGGGCATAGGGTGGTCAGGTCGTTTGCCAAGGTCAGCATCGTAGGGAATCCTAAAGGGAATCCTGAGATTCCTCTGAGGAAATATATGTGTGTGTATGTATATAATGTATATATGTGTGTACGTATATATTTGTAAATATATATACATACGAATATAAGTACACATATGTGTGTATGTGTGTGAGTGTATACATATGCACACATGTATGAGTGTGTGGATGAGTGTGTGTATAATATATATACATATATATTCATGTATTTATGTATACTGCATATATTTACATACTGAATCTATACCTACACATGTAATGGACATATATATGTATATATATACATATATACATAAATAGATACAATATGTATCTATGTGTGTATACAATCTCCGTATGTTTTCTGTCATTACTCGGTATGCAAAGGATAGGAAGTATATGAATATTTCTTAACAATCACTTTATTACTTTTGGTTACACAAAATGCAGATTATTGTCTTTATCAAAGCCGAAAATTTCATCTTTCCAATACTGAATCTTACTGAAAACTGATAAAAAAAACATTATTCGAAATATCTTGATTTAAATCAGCAGAGCCAAATGGAGGTCAGGTCGTTCGCCAAAGGTCAGCGCCGTCACATGAGTCCTTCAAGGAGCGGCAGTTGTCCATTCCTCAGAGGATTCCTCAGAGCTCTCACTCTCGGAGCTGGAGGCTTGTCTGTGCGGCGTGAGAGCGAATTAATGATAAATAAGTAAATACAAATATTCATTTGTGTATACTATATATATTCATAAATATACATACATATGTATGTATATATACACGTGTTTGTGTGTGAGTGCATATAAATATGTTTATATATATATATATATATATATATATATATATATATATATATATATATATATATATATATATATATATATATATATATACATTATATTTACATCATATATGTATGTGTTTGGGTATATTATACATATATGTATATGTATGTACGTATGTGCATAGATACACGATATTTATATATATATTATATATATATATATATATATATATATATATATATATATATATATATATATATATATATATATATATATATAATTGTACATATGCACAATATATATATGCATACACACATTATGTGTGTATGCATATATATGATTGTGCATATATGTATGAATGTATATTTCATATATAGTTACTACATACAGGGAACTACCTTTTTTTCTGTTTCATACTTATAGAATAATTATTAAAAATGACTTTCTTCACTAACACACATTCCTCATCGCTTGGCGTCGACTCACCTCCTGAGGCGCCTCAGATCCAAGTCGTGAGAGGCAGCGATGTCTCTGAGGATTGGTTGAAAGGACGATGTCTTAATATTGTT